CTTCCAGCAGGCGTGTGGACACTGACAGTGACCAAGAGGCAACATTCTGGGGGGGGCTCAGCTCAGGTCAGGACCGGAAGCTGCCGGGATGTTAGAGGTTAAGTGCAAGAGGCCAGGAGTGGGGAGATCGTCCTAGTCCACAACTGTCTGGGCACTTACACTGGCCTGGGACCTGTCCTCGTCACCGTGACTGGCATTCCCGGAGCTCTTCCTGAGGGGCACCGTAGCGTGCTGCAATCTAAAACCAGACGGCTTGGCTTCAAACTCTGGTGCCAATTCGAATTGGCACCGTGACTTGGCAAGTCACTCAGGCCCTCTGGAACTTGGTTTCCTCATTTGCAAAATGAGAATGTAGCTGATAACAGTATCACGTTTGTAGGGTTGTCATGAAGACCAAAAGAGTTAAGTCACAGTTCTGGCTGGTGTGCTCAGTGGTTAGAGCACCGGCCCACACGGAAGGGTCGCGGGTTTGATTCCCAGTCAAGGGCATGTGCCCGAGTTGCAAGTTCGATCCCTGGCCCTGATCAGGGCATGTGTGGGAGGTAGTCAATCAATGTGCCCCTCTCACTTCTCTCTCTCTCTTCCTCTCTCCACCTCCACCCCTCCTGCTCTTTCTAGAAAAATCAATAGAGGGAATATCCGAAGGTAAGGATGAACAAACAAACAAAAAAGTTAAATCACTTAAAATATTTAGAACAGGGCCTGGCACTGACAAGTTCTTATTGTTACCTTGTATGTTGTTCCAAATTCCAGACACGTATCATATGTAATACTCAGAGCAGTCCTCTGAAGGGAGCACTGATACCACCTCGTATCACAAACAAGGAAGCCGAGAGACATACGCACCCCGATCAGTGTGGAGCAGGCTTCAAACCCAGCACTTCCAGAATCCCTGGAAACCCTCTTAATCACCACACGGGTCCAGAAAAAACAGACCTCTGTGCGGCAGTGCTGGCAGCCTAGCGATGGTGCAGAGGTCTCTAGCACACCCTACAGGAAGAGCAGATCTGACCTCGGGGGTCACACAGGCCCACCGTCTTGAACAATGACTCTTTCATCTCACGTCACACAAATTAATTCTGCAGCACACCCAAAAAATTTTTTTATTGATCTGACAAAAAGTAGGTATACTTTTTATTGATTTACAGAGAAGAATAATAGTGATTATTTGCCCTTTTTGCTCCAAAGTTACTTTTAAAAAAATCAGATGTTGCCTGGCTGGTGCGGCTCAGTAGTTGAGCGGCCACCCATGCACTGAGGTCACCAGTTCGATTCCCAGTCAGGGCACATGCCCAGGTTGTGGGCCCGATCCCCAGTGGGGGGCATGCAGGAGGCGGCCAATCCATGTTCTCTCTCATCGATGTTTCCATTTTTCTCTCCCTCTCCCTTCCTCTCTAAAATCAATAAAGAAAAATAAATCAGATGTCTGTACTTGTATATAAGGATTTCAGTACCAAGTATTAACTAATCAGAGGCAACCTTATTATGTGACATGATCAATATGATGCAACTGTATTATATGACCTACATATTCACAGTTCAAGACAGGACATTCAAACCCAATGGCTGTTGTTGTGTTGGCTGTTGTCACTTTTTTATATACAGTCTAAGGGAAAAGAGGTCAGAGCCCCTGACTAAATAGTCAGGTACTACATATTTCTAAAAATCTTTTTTTTTTAGACATCCTCCTCCCTATCCCTCCACCCCCACCAAGCACTTTTGTCTATGTCCATTGGTTACGCAGACATGCATGTAAGTTCTTTGTTTTATCTCATCCCTCCCCCAGCACCTCTCCTCTGCGGTCTGTCAGTCTAAACCCTTCTTTTCATGTCTCTGGGTCTCTTTTGTTCATCAGCTTTTTTTGTTCACAAATAAGTGACATCACATGATACTTGTCTTTCTCTGACTGGCTTATTTCACTTAGTATAATATTCTCCAGGAACCTCCATGTCGTCTCAAGGGATGAGATCTTTCTTTCTTACAATTACATAGTACTCCATTGTGTAAATGTATCACAGCTTTTAAAAAAGTTTTTATGCCCTGGCCGGTTTGGCTCAGCGGTTTGAGCATTGGCCTGCAGTCCAGAGAGACCCGGGTTCAATTCCCGCTAAGGGCAAGTACCTCGGTTGCAGTTTGTCCTCGGCCCTGGTTGGGTCGTGCGGGTGGCAGCCACTCGATGTGTCCCTTTCACGTCGATGTTTCTCTCTCTCTCTCTCTCTCTCTCCCTCCTACTCTATCTGAACAAAATATCGAAAAATGTCCTCAAGTGAGAATTAAAAAAAAAAAATTTTTAAATAAATAAAATAAAAATTTTTTTATTTTTGTTACATGTTTCTCCATTTCCCCCCACTGATACACCCCTCCCCCACCCTCCCACCCCATCCCCAGCTTTGTTGTCCATTTCCATTGTTCATGCATATTAGTTCTGTGGTTTATTTCTCCCCAACCCCCTCTTCTGGGATTGTCAGTCTGTACCCCACTTCATGTCTCTGGGACTACCCTGTTCCTCAGACTGTTATGTTCATTATATTCCACAAATAAGTGACATCACATGATATTTGTCTTTCTCTGATTGGCTTGTTTCACTTAGGATGATACTTTCAAAGTCCCTCCATGTAGTCTCAAAGGATAAGAGATCTTTTTTTCTTACAGCTGCATAGTACTCCATTGTGTACATGTACCACAGCTTTTTTATCCACTCATCTGCTGACAGACACGTGCTGTTTCCAGATTTTGGCGATTGTAAATAGTGCTGCTATGAACATGGGGGTACATATATTCTTTCTGATTGGTGTTTCAGGCTTCTTAGGGTATATTCCTAGAAGTGGGATCTCTGAGTCAAATGGCTTTTTTGAGGAAACTCCATATTGATTTCTGTAGTGGCTGCACCAATCTGCATTCCCACCAGCAGGTACTAGAGTCCCCCTTTCCCCACACCCTCGCCAGCACTTGTTTGATGTTTTTAAAATTCTTGTGGCGCACCAGTGTACCTACCCCAGCACATGGGTGAAAATTGCTGGTCTAGAAGCACAGCAGCCTGTGAGAGAAAGGCACTTAGGTAAAGCATGGACCCTCAGAGACCTGCAAACCCTCTGCATTTGCTAGCCTGGCAAGTAAGAGAGGCAGTTGAAGCTGGAGAGGTGGGCAACCTTCAAACTATGGAGGAGTTTCTAGATTGTGCTGTGGAGCTTAAATTTCATCTCGGAGATAATGAGGGACTGAGCGGATGTCAAGCATTTCAAACTGTTCTAGAACGTGAGCTGGAAGGAAACCCAGGAATCCCCAATGGCGAGTTGCACCTCCCGCCCTGCTTGCTGAGTTCCCAGACTTGGGTGCTGAGCAGGCACTGTGCTTCTGTCTCTGAATCTAGAAATCGAGGCGTGAGCTGCTCAAATATTACAAACCAATTAATGTCTAGCAATATTGCCTGTGGAAAGCAGGAGAGGGACTAGAAGTGCAAAAACGGCAACCCCCCCCCCCCCCCATTAGCCTACAGGTCTCTAGGAATCCAGGAATCACTGGGTTTGTTTACTCCGTCCTGACTGCCTCTACAGGTGTCCAGGTAGGAAAATGCCAGGTCCTGTGCAGGGCTCCCATTGTTATAGGACAGGAGAGGGGCTTGTCTCCCCTGGTTGCACATGGAGGTGGGGTTCTTGCAGTACCACTGGAATAAGCATTTCCGGAGGTCCCCAAGGGAGGATGCCTTATGGTAGAAAGCTCTATTTCTGTGGAATTACACCCATGGATTTTCAAAGTCCCATTTCTCTCAGTCCAGTCAATAGGAGACGTCTAGCCGGGGTTTCAGTAGGGCTAAAATCAGAGCCAGGGTCCAGAGTGTCCCTTCCATATTTGCCTGGTCCAATACAGCATCAGGCCAGCTGCAGTCCATTCGTCCATTGTGTGTGGGGCCCGCAGGGCTGTGGGCGGTTGGGGAGAATGCAAGAGAGCCCAGAGAGCAGCCCTGAGCAGTGGTCTGACAGCCCAGGAGCCCAAGAGCAGAGCAACAAGACAGCGAACTCCTTTGTTAAGGGGCTTAGGTATTCCCAGAGTTTCCCGGGTTGGCAGTGGCCACCCCATTCTGGCCAGCCATCGGGTCCCCAGGTGTGATTTACAGGTAAGTACCTTTAGTCACCCCCTTGGCTGGGCATGGTCCACCTTCCCTTTCTTGGAGCCTTTCCCTCCCTGGGGACTGTGAAATTGCAGCTTCCTGATGAAGCTGCCCAAATGCCAGGCCTTCCCTTGCTCCTTTCCTGTGATAATAGCTACCGAATCACAAGCGATCACCACAGGTGTGAGGATCGCTGAGCACCTGCCTTCACAGATAGGAACAGGGGGAGCAGGCTGTGTGGTGGCCCAAGGGGCCTGGCAGCACTGACCGCATATTGTTCTTGCTCTTTCAGTTCTGTTCTGCTCCAACAACCCACAAGCAGGGACCCCCCACCCCCCGCCCCCGGAACTGGGACCCGGCCATCTGTCTTGTCTGCAAAGTACCCTGGAATCCAGATAACCTGGGGAAAGGGCGGGCGCCCCCACCTTCCGCGACCTCGACAGCCAGGGGCGGCTGCAAGGGGCAGGCAGGCCGCGCGGAAGGCGATGTCGTCCTGGAGCAGGGAGACAGGGGCCGCGGAGAGGGCGGGGCCGTCGGGCCGCGGGCCCGGCCCGGGCGCCCGCGAGGCACGCTGGGAGTTGTAGGCCGCGTCCTCCACACGCTCCTGCGGCCCCTCCTCGCCCACCGGAAGGAAGCGGACGGGCGCCGCACTCCCGGCGGGAACGGGAGAACAGTTTCCGGAACGGTGCCCCCAACAGGCCTTCGCCTGGGCTGGGACTACATTTTCCAGGGCCCTGGGAGGCGGGCCGTCGGGCGCGGGGCATTGTGGGCGTTGTAGTCCGGGCTGCGTCGGGCCGCGCCTGCGAGCCGCCGCGGGCCGCCGGCCGGACTACACTTCCCGCGCACCCGCGCGCTCCCGGGCCGCCCGGCGCGAGACCTCTGCGAGCGCAGATCTCCAAGATGGCCGCGTGGGGACGGAGGCGCCTCGGCCCGGGCAGCAGCGGCGGCAGCGGCCGAGAGAGGTGAGACCCGGGGCCAGCTGCCCCCCGGCACGTGGCCCAGGGGGCGGGGACCCCGCGAGGCCTCCCGTGGCCGCAGGGCCCCCCTGCCCTGGTTGCTGGGTCCCCCTCGTCCGCCCTCCTCCCGTTCCTCCGCCGGGCACACGGGGCTCCTGTCCAGGCCGAGGTGGGATCCGGGCGGGAGCGGCCTCTGCAGAGGGTTCGGGGTCGGATCCACAGGCCCGGGGGACCCGCCTGGCGCCCAGCGGCGTCCAGGGCTCCCGTGGCGCCGGCCCCGCTCGGCCCTCGCGGCCCCTGACGTGGCTCCGGGCGGGGGAGGCGCCCTCGGAGGGCCGGCGGCGGGCGGGCAGCTCGGTCGGCACGTCTGCGGGCGGCCTCGGCCTCCCCGGCCTGCTCGGGCCGACGGCCGCGCTTCCTCGGCCGGGACTCCGACGCGGGGCGGGCCCTCGGAGTGACCTTCCCGCGTGGGCGGGCGGGGGCTCCTCGGAGGGGTCTGCGCCGCGACCTGGCTCCTCCCAGGCGCGGCCGCAGTGGTTTCCGTGGCGAACGGGCCGTGTTTGCCTCTGGAAAGGTGTCAGCTGGGAGCCGCTGGCGGCTGCTCGACCGGAAGCTGGGGAGGGGTGTGCATCGGGGGTCCCCTGGCGCGGACGCCCGGTCCGTCAGCGCAGCGTTGGTGCAGCGCGGCTCAGCGAGAAAGGGGCGTCGTTGTTCGTGAGCTAGTTCGTCCTCTGGGCGAGGCCTGTTAGGAAGGGAAGCTGTCTGTCCCTCCTGTCCGCGGCTCGGTTCTGCACGGCTCCTCTCCTCCGGCGGTTCCGGACTGGGCACCCCGTCGCCCGCAGGTGGGCCAGCCCGGAGGATTCCGGGCGCTCGCGGCGGCCCTGGGGCTCGCTGGCGTTGCAGAGCTAGTTCCCAGCGCTGTCCTCCTGCAGTTCCCGTTTCTTGGAAAAGCGGTGAATGGCAAGCAGATGTTTTTGTTTTTTCAACTCCCACGTTGCATTTCTTAGATCCGGCCATAGAAAGAAATAAAAAAAGTGACCTCGATGATTTTCCAATGGTATTAAAAGCTAGGAAACGTTTTTAAGACCTTCCATGCAAACATGAATTCTTTCCTAATAAGAAACACCCTGTTCAGAAAACTTGAGCGTGTCACTGAGAAAGGCATTGCCCCTTACTGCATAGAAACAGCTGGCAGGGCCATGTGGGGAGGCCCAGGCATCTGCAGAGGCTGCTGAGCTTTCAGTGATTTAAGAAATCAGGTTTTGGGGGTTTTGTCCTCCTTGGTTCGAGACCATCATTAATTCAAAACTGAGTTTGCAAACCAGCAGCCCATAAACAGAATCCAGTTCTTAGTTATAGACCCTCAGTTTTTTTAAGAGAATTTAATTTAGTTGCCAGTGCTTTCAAGTGGAAAAATTTCTCTCTCTCTCTCTCTCTCACACACACACACACACACACACACACACAAGCTACTTGAAAAGCTGGCTTTTTTGGTCAGTCAACTGCTTTCTAGTTCATCTTTCCTCACCTGACAGCTTGACTCACTGCTTTACCTGCCTGGCTTCCTGCGGTGTCAGGTTCACCCTTTGGCCTGGGACTGAAGGCTCTGCCCAGAGTGCAGATGTGTTAGCCAGGAATGGGCATCTGGTTTTGTGGTTGGGGGACACCACCTCCTTTTTCTAGAGAATGCACTCTTGGGGGTTACCCCTGTGTGTGTGCCATCTGTCTGCCTTCCAGGCGGTGTGGTGTGGTGGGGGTGGGAGGGGTACACCCAGGGACTCCTTTGCCTTTGCTGGGAGGCCTTAGTTGGGGGAGCCTGGCTTCCCTCAGAGCTTCCCATGCTGAGTGGGATGGAAACATAATCCTCCCACACCCTCACCCCTGCCAACTAGCTAACTTCTGGGCACACCTCCATTCCTGCTCAGTGGGTGGGAAGATTGGGTGGGGCAGGCTGGATTAATTGATTGGCAAGCACCATGGATTATGAGGCCGGAGCACGTTATTGGCTCTTTGACTGAAAGATGGCTGTTCATGGCTCTCAGAAATGACTTTGTGCCATGTCACATCTGTGCTGGCTCAAGTCTCAGCTCCACGCTGTGAGACCACGACCCTGAGCTGCTGCACACACCAGGTTGGAATCTGCTTTATGCCGAAACCGAAGGAAACTGTCTGGTTTGGTGTAGGGCTGGGGCAGAGCAAGGCACTGGGCGTGGCTGCTAACTCTAGAGCAGGCGGGTGCCCCAAGGTCCCGGTGCCAGAGTGTCCAGGAGAAGTAGTGTGGTCGGCTGTGTGCTAACGGTGGTCGGGCTGGGAATATAGTGTGTGGGTTTTTGCTTTCCCTGGTTCTCGAGTGTAGAGCTCTGCTACTTCAGCAGCCACCAGTCACGTGTGGCAATTACATTTAAATTAGTTAAAATTTAGTAAAATGAAAAATTCGGCTTCTCAGTCACACTAGCCACACTTCACGTGCTTGGCAGCCCCGTGTGGCTGTGGCTACCATGGTGGATAGCCAAGATGCAGACCATGTCCAGTCAGACAGTCCTGTCCACAGGCCAGTGCTGGTCTAGACTGAAGTAAGAGAGGGGTGGAAATAGCAGAATGAAAGTTTCTTGCATGTTGATTTTTCTCTCCACTCTATTAAATCTAGGAAATCAACAGTGTTTGTAATGAAGAACATCAGACTCTGAACTGTAACCTGAATTCTTGTCCAAAATTCAGCACACTGGCAGCGAGCACATGAAACAGATTGCCACTTGCCTGTCGACGTCTTTGAGACACACTTGCCCATCTAGGAAGGCACAGTGCAGGTGCCTGTGTGTTCTGCCACTTGGGTGCCAGCCCGGATCAGCTCACAGACGGTCCCGCCTGTCCCCTGGGCTCCTTGTCTTCATTCTCTCAGGGCCCCTGAGCGTCCCTGAGTTCTCCGTGATTGTCGGAATGTGAGTACAGCCACATGCTCTCAGTTCCCATTGTTGTCATCATGTGAAGGTGCGCTCGATCTGATGCTGATCGAGTGTTCAGTGGGCTGGGCACACTGGACTGAATGCTCAGATTTCAGGGTGAAAGCACCGTCTGAGGCCGACCACCTCGACTTGCGCAGCATTCTTAGGCAGCTGGTTCTAAGGGGCTCCTTGCACATCTCTCTGCAGCACACGTTATTCCTTCACACTTGAACTTTTCACAGCTTTGCTTTAATCTCTGAATCAAGGGTGTGGTTCTGGATGGCTGGTGGTGCGTTCATTTCCATCCAGCTGAAGAGACGGTCGGGAGCTGTGTGGGCTGCAGCACACATGCCCCTCGTTCTGATGCTTCCTCTCCTCCTAGAGCTGAGGAACCTTAGGGCTGCGGTGTTTCATTTCTCTTGAAAGACTCTCATTGTGGTTCTGGTGTGTGGTAGAAATGTCTGCTCCCTCCTGGTCCTGATGACCACACAGGAGCAGCCTGCACAGCCCTGAGGGTGGCGGGGCCCACCCGGCAGCCACATGTGCTGACCCCAGAAGTTGGACGTTGTAGGTCAGGATCTGCGGGGATGCATCCTTTTACTCCCAGGTTTGTTTTCCTTGATTCGCTCGAGCAGTCTGGATCTCTGACTGCAGTGCTTCGTGCTTCCGTGGCATAGTCCTTGAGGTCCAGCTTTCTGGAGAGGAGTGATCTTATGTGCAGGGAGGTGAGAGGAAGGCTGAGTTCGGCTTCTCTGCCCTGAGCCCGTGTGAGTGTGTGTGTGTGTGTGTGTGCGCACACACATGCACCTCAGTGAGTGAGGACGCTGGGGGAGGTGGAAAGTACTCCACAGAGCGAGCACACAGGAATCTCCCAGCTGCCACTGTTCTGTCCCTGGCGCCAGCAGCAACTTTATGGGCCACAGAGTTTTTGGGGAAAGCCAATAATCCCTTAGTCTTCGCAACAGCTCTCGACTCAGTGATGTTTGTTAGGGTAGCCATTAGCCATTTGGGACTTCCAAGCGTTTGAGATGTGGCTCGTGTGTCTGAGAAACTGAGCATGTTAATTTTACTTAAACAGCTGGGTGGTGCTTGCAGCTGTCACTTTGGCTTGACACCCAGCCCCCATCCCATCTTTGCTGAAGCACTCTGGGAGAGCTAGGCCTTTGCCCCACTTGACACCAGCGAAGCTGGCTCAGAGTGGCAGGGGGTGTGCCCTTGGACACAAAGCCAGTGAGTGGCTGGGAGGAAGCTTGCATCCAGGCCTCCTGATCCCACACTTGGTGTGCTGTGTCCCTGTTCCCAGAGCACAGGGAGGAAAGTGCTCTCTGGTGTGTAGCAGATGAGACTGTCGGTGCCCTGTGGAGGGGTTTCTGGCCTGTTTGGAACTGACCTTGGTATTTGGGGCTCCATGCCTGGGCCGTCTTGTCCTGTCTGGGCTTTCCATGCGCAGATAGAGCTGGACCGCTTTCTTCGACTCTGGAGGAAGCGACGTTTGGTCAGCCAGAAGCGGGTTTCCCTAGACGGGGGAGAGCTAGAACCCAGCACCTCCCATATCACAGGTGATGAAGTGGCCACATGCTCATTAGGTGGAAAGCAACGTGGCAGGGACCTGGTGTGACTTTTCTGCCGCACATCTTCATCACTGTGATTGCCTTCCTCCTGCCACTCATTCCAAGCGTCCCTCTGCTGATGCCTGTCGTTCTTGGGCCAGTGCTGAAGGAAGACACACACTCTGCTTTCAAGGAGCTCGGAATCAGCACCTTTGTGCTGCAGAGGGGAGCTCACACCTCAGTCCTGCCTGTGTGCCCAGGGCCCGCTCCAGGAAGCAGCCTAGAGCAAGTGCCTCCACTCTGGTTATATTTGGTTCTAGTTTGGCATGACCAGAAACGGATGGTGGCTTGCAGGGCAGCCTGGCCAGTGCTTGCTCGACTGAAACGGGAAGGGAATTCTGCCTCGCACCCTCCCGTGCAGCACTGCAGGAGTGAGACCACAGGACACCAGCTGGGAGAAGCCGTCTGTGCTGACGTGCTGAGATGGCGGCCTTGCTCCCTGTGCACCAAAAGCGGCTGCAGTGGCCATGGGCAGCCTGCCCCCTGGCTTTGGAGCCCCCCGGCTCCCTGGTCTCTTCACCCCAAGGATGCAGGGCTATTGAACAATAATTTTTTTCGAGAAAAGGTTTATAGTTAATGTTGCCATTATAAAAGAAGCACCTATTTATGTTTTTTAAAATAGAATTCTAGGTATGAAGAAAAACTAAATTTTACAGTCACCTGTTAGGCCACTATTCAAACAAAATCATTATTGACCATATTTGTGTGTGCACCTTTGATACCCTCCACTGTGTAGTTTGTCTTGGGTTTTAAAAAAATTATGTTAAACCAGAAATAGATTTCTGAGAAGTCATACACTTACTACCATATATATGATTCTTGAAAACATTCTGCTGAATGAAAAAAGCAGTCACAGAAGCAGTCTGCCGCGTGATCGTGTGTGCGTGAAAACATCCTGCTGAGAGGGGCATTGTGCCGCGTGATCGCGTGTGCGTGAAAACATCCTGCTGAGAGGGGCATTGTGCCGCGTGATCGCGTGTGCGTGAAAACATCCTGCTGAGAGGGGCATTGTGCCGCGTGATCGCGTGTGCGTGAAAACATCCTGCTGAGAGGGGCAGTGTGCCGCGTGATCGCGTGTGCGTGAAAACATCCTGCTGAGAGGGGCAGTGTGCCGCGTGATCGCGTGTGCGTGAAAACATCGTGCTGAGAGGCAGTGTGCCGTGTGATCACGTTTGCGTGAAAACATCGTGCTGAGAGGCAGTGTGCTGCGTGATCGCGTGTGCGTGAAAACATCGTGCTGAGAGGCAGTGTGCCGCGTGATCGCGTGTGCGTGAAAACATCGTGCTGAGAGGCAGTGTGCTGCGTGATCGCGTGTGCGTGAAAACATCGTGCTGAGAGGCAGTGTGCCGTGTGATCACGTTTGCGTGAAAACATCGTGCTGAGAGGCAGTGTGCCGTGTGATCGCGTTTGCGTGAAAACATCGTGCTGAGAGGCAGTGTGCCGTGTGATCGCGTTTGCGTGAAAACATCCTGCTGAGAGGGGCAGTGTGCCGCGTGATCGCGTGTGCGTGAAAACATCGTGCTGAGAGGCAGTGTGCTGCGTGATCGCGTGTGCGTGAAAACATCGTGCTGAGAGGCAGTGTGCCGTGTGATCACGTTTGCGTGAAAACATCCTGCTGAGAGGGGCAGTGTGCCGCGTGATCGCGTGTGCGTGAAAACATCGTGCTGACTGAGAGAGGCAGTGTGCCGCGTGATCGCGTGTGCGTGAAAACATCCTGCTGTGAGAGGCAGTGTGCTGCGTGATCGCGTGTGCGTGAAAACATCGTGCTGACTGAGAGAGGCAGTGTGCCGCGTGATCGCGTGTGCGTGAAAACATCGTGCTGAGAGGCAGTGTGCTGCGTGATCGCGTGTGCGTGAAAACATCCTGCTGAGAGAGGCGGTGTGCCGCGTGATCGCGTGTGCGTGAAAACATCGTGCTGACTGAGAGAGGCGGTGTGCCGCGTGATCGCGTGTGCGTGAAAACATCGTGCTGAGAGGCAGTGTGCTGCGTGATTGCGTGTGCGTGAAAACATCGTGCTGAGAGGCGGTGTGCCGCGTGATCGCGTGTGCGTGAAAACATGCTGAGAGGCGGTGTGCTGCGTGATCGCGTGTGCGTGAAAACATCGTGCTGAGAGAGGCGGTGTGCTGCGTGATCGCGTGTGCGTGAAAACATCCTGCTGAGAGAGGCGGTGTGCCGCGTGATCGCGTGTGCGTGAAAACATCGTGCTGAGAGGCAATGTGCCGCATGATCGCGTGTGCGTGAAAACATCACGCTGACTGAGAGAGGCGGTGTGCTGCGTGATCGCGTGTGCGTGAAAGGTCCATATAGACAAGCCCAGATCAGGACTTAGGCTGATGGTTGCCCGGAGCGGCTGCGGGCTGGAGGAAAGGATTGACAGTTTTCCTTCCGGGTGATGAGATGTCCTAAGATGGGTTGTGGTGAAAGTGCTGAGCCATTGAATTGTACACTCTAAGTGGGTGAATTATATGGTGCGTGAATCTATCTCAGCAGAGCTGTTATTTTTAAAAGTACAAGTCAGAGATGCCACCGCACTCCTCAGGAAGGCCACTGTTAAAACCAGACAGTGTGGGCGAGGTGTGGAGACATTGCCCCTCCTGCAGCGGTGATGGGCTGGGAGCAGTGCTGCCGCTATGGAAACAGAACGCGGTTCTTCCAACAGGGAGAAGTAGAATTACCTTGTGACCTCACAATTCCATTTCTAGGTATGTTTCCAAAGGAGTTGAAAGCAGACACTCAAACAGATACTTTTGCAGCCTTGTTCATAGCGAGAGTCACAATAGCTGGGTGGAAAGAACTCAGAAGTGTCCGTCGATGGATGAGTGGTTAAAATGTGGTCCGTCCACACCTTAGAATGTTACTCACTCGTAAAAAGGAAGGACATTCTGACACACGCTGTGTACCAGGTGAACCTTGAGGACACTGCCACGTGGAAGAAGCCAGTCACAGAAGGACAGAGCTGTGTGGCTCACTCACACGTGGGACTAGTCTCCATGAGGTCGGGGTTTGATGGGCAGGGTTTTCACTTGTAAGATGAACAGCTCTGGAGATGGGTTGCACAGCAGCTTGAGCGTATTAACAGTACTGAGCTGTACATTTAAAATGTTTAAGACAGTACATTTTGAATCTACCATAATTTTTAAAACTTAATAAATCAGCATGCGCACCACTCAGCTTAGGAAATAGAAGCTAGCATCCCCGCCACACACCTCCAGGCAGGGGCCTGCTTCCCTGCCCAGCCACTCCTGGGCACGTCCCAGGCAGCACGTCCTTGGCTGTGTCAGAACCGTGCATGGCGTCCATTGCGTGTGCTTCGCCCACTGCCTTTGCCCTGGTGCCAGCATCTTTACTTGGCCAGACTGCCACTCTGAGCATGCTGCTCTGGCTGGG